CTAAAATAACAAACATCCAAATCATCAAAAAGAAACTTGAAATAACAACATTAGATCAAGTTCACCTGATTTGATTTTCTCTTATTCTATGGCAAATCAGGCCCACAACTTGAACCATTATGATTCTTTTCAGAAATGGTTGGAAATATGATTTGGAAACATGATTTTCATCAAGATTTTCAGGTATATTTATATCGGCAAATCTGATTGGCTATCATGGCTACCGAAGATTCACAGTGTTTCCAGTCTGAAACATGGATTTTGATTGGTTCCGATGTATTCCGGAAAATGCCAAAATCGAAATGGAAGATCAATATTGCAGAAATCCCCTGTGGTGCCCCACAAATTGAAAGACGTGTTTTTCACGATTATCTTTATCATTTCTCTTAGAGACCAATTAAAAATCGATCTAATGTTATACATCAATATAATTGTTTAATGATAGATCAATGTTTTTCATCTAAAAGTCGTCAGAATAAGGAGAAATGTTACTAAAAAAAGCAAAAGTTCACGACCTTGACATGACCTTGAAGATCGCGCATTTGTAAAATGTGAAAACAAAACTCTTAATTTGAGCATTTCCTTTATTCATTTTGGACTATTTTGGTATAACATTACTTAATAATTGTGTGAAAAGGACCCAATGATATTTAGGATGCATCAAATTAAAATATATGTCATTTTTATCCCGTTTTAGTGTAAGCACTCTATTATCACCCACTTTATTTTCACTTTCACAATATTTTGAAATTTGTGAAGAAATATGAGGGATGCAAAAAAATTTGACGGGACTCAAATTTTTCAAATGGGTTGTGTCCCTGGGACTCAGAAATTTAAATGGCTAGCGCGAACACTGATGATGGTCAAGTTTACAAAATATAATGACTTGTCATGTCATGTAATTATTTTTAATCATCCACCATTTTGAAATTCAGATGATTAAAGTCCCCGTCTTAAGGTCTCATGGAAGTTAACAGGAAATGACAAAACAAAAAATGACAAAGCCATGCTGGATTTTGAAAATTTTTTGAACCAAGATAACAGAGTTCTGTTTGGACCTCCAGTCAGTTTAACTAGTTCCAAATATCATTTACATGACCAGGAACACAATTGAAAGGGTCAGAATGACCATAAACATGATAAAATAACCTTTTTAGCCCTCTGAAAATGTGACTGAAAAATAGCTAAAAGTAGGTGCTCAGGAAAGGTCAATGAACAGAATCTTTTGATTTTTTCAGAATATGTGTCCAATATATTGCTCTAAATGACACAATCTTTGAAATTTTAAAAAATCGTCTGAAACAATAATGGCTGTAGTAAAAAGGAAAATAGATCGATTTTCAATTCAGTTTTTTTCAATTTTTTCTTTTTCTAAGAATGATATCAAATTTTTTTGAATTGTATCATTTAGAGCAATATATTGGGCACATTTTCTGAAAAAGTCAAAAGATTCTGTTCAGTGACCTTTCCTGAGCACCTACTCTTAGCTATTTTTTAGTCACATTTTCAGAGGGCTGAAAAGGTTATTCTATCATGTTTATGGTCATTCTGACCATTTCAACTGTGTTCCTGGTCATGTAAATGATATGTAGAACTAGTTAAACTGACTGGAGGTCTTAACAGAACTCTGTTATCTTGGTTCAAAAAATTTTCAAAATCCAGCATGGCTTTGTCATTTTTTGTTTTGTCACTTCCTGTTAACTTCCATGAGACCTTAAGTTTGAAAATATTTTTTTATCATTCATTTACTATTTGTCAGGACTTAAAAAGTGATTTTAGAGATTTTTGAACAAAAAAAATTTTCTCAAATATTCAAATGAAAATGGAGGATGAATGCTATGCATTGGTATGAATTGTGGCTAATTAGAAGATATGAGTGACCTCTAAAAGTTGGTTTTAAATAAATTCACAAATTTTGGAGCAAAAAGTCTATCAAAAACCACTTTTTGAAATTAAAAAAAAAAAAGTTTCACATATCACACTTTGATAACATTGGGTAAGACTACAATATAAGCCAAAGTGGTTTAAACTTTATATGGGGCCTTTACGAAGAAGAAAATGTAATTCGACATAATTCTACCCAGCTCTCTGACGAAAGGTAGGAGGTGTAGATAAGTCATCGGCCAAATTTATTATATATGGGGAAAAAACTTAAGAATACAGCCAAATGAGAAAATAAATGGATTTTTTGACCGTCGGACAGCAACTGAAAAATATTATAGTACAGCAGTAGATAATTTTCATCTACATGTAAATGAGCAACTTAAGTCCTGGACCGAGCGCAATCTTTTGCCTGTAGGATTACAACTTGGGAGAATTATCTACGCCCCTTACACTTAAGATACCTACTTCAATAGATTCCTTGGTATTTTAGCATTCTTTTTGTGTAGTTGAATCTACCGTGAATTGTCTGGGTTTATCAGCAGAATGAAGAAATTTTCATTTTTGTTCACAATATTTGCGTGTAATATTTAACTTATTTCAACCGTCAAATTCCTCCATTTATTGGTACTTCCGGGTCAGTCAAACCGGGAATCTCCTTTTAAATCCAACCGCCATCTTGGAAAGTGATGGAATCTCTCCCGATGAAAAAGAAGATAATTCTCCCAAGTTGTAATCGTACAGGCAAAAGATTGCGCTCGATCCAGGACTATAGTCCTGGCACTGTATAAATGGGGGTAACTTGACTTTACAAGCCCCTATCAGTGATCGCATAGTATTTTATGCATTTCTAAACCGATTGTCTATCTAATGGGGCACTAAATTCTGGCTTTTTAGATGACAACAGATAATTTATTTGGCTTTTAACTTTAAGATGATTCAGAGCTTGTAGTCTAATCCTGTGTGGGAAAATCATGCAAAAATGAATAATTTTTTAGAAAAAAAACCCAGAATATCAGATGTACTATAATTCAAACATATGATATATATTAGATGTCAAATTATATGACATATGATGGAAGAAGAACAATAATAATATTTTTAACAAGTCTTACCTTCTTAAATGACGAGAGTGCGTAGGAAATCACAATATAAATCGATATCTGAAAATATTGGACTAAAAATTTTCAGCCATATTAGAGATAGTCTCGAAGAAAAACGTTTGCAGACGATATTACCAGGGATCGATCATTTATTGTTAAACTCTCAATGTATACGGCATATGGCATACAGAATCTAAATTTCGATATCACTTCATTCCGTGTGATTGGAATTACTAGAATTCAAATGTCATCAAAATAAATCATGACTTCTCTTCTATTACTATTAGTTCCTTCCTAGATCATCTTCGCACGCTCCGCTCTTCACTGCGTTCATCGGCCGATGGGAGCCAAGTGAACAAAGATGTTCCGAGATAGGCCTATTTAGTATTTGCTGAGATATGATAGTCTCAGTAGTTCTAATGGAAAACAAATTGGGGGCATAAAACTAAGACATCACACATTTTTAGCCAGAGAGTGGTAAAACAATGGAATTGTATACCAGAATGGGTAGTAAATGCCCACTAGTGTAAATCAGTTCAAAAACAAATTGGACTCCCACTGGTACAATCACCCAATGAAATATGACCTTAAGTATTGATCGGTTAAACAGGCATTTAAACAGACTTTTTTTTAATTCGCTCACAGTTATTATCACACGACACCCCTAACACAAAATCCTGGATCCACCCCTGCTGACATGTCAATGAATGTAAAATTAGTCAGTGACATTTTCCAGCATATACGATTCTAAGAAGTTCAAAATCCCCAAACCATAACAAATGCCCATAACAAATCATAAACATTCATGTCCATATTACTGGCGGTGCCTTCCAATTTCGCCCCTTCCCACTTTGCCCCTTCCCATTTCGCCCCTCATTTATTCCCATTTGGCCCCTTCCCATTTTGCCCCTACCCATTTCGCCCCTTCCCATTTTGCCCCTTTCCCAAATTGCCCCTTTCCCATTTCGCCCCTCTTCCATTTCGCCCCCGTCCCAATATGCCCCCTTCCCATTTCGTCCCTCATTCCCCCTTCACCCCTTCCCATTTCGCCCCTTCCCAATTGGCCTCTTCCCATTTTGCCCCTTCCCATTTCGCCCCTCATTTATTCCCATTTCACCCCTTCCCAATTGGCCCCTTTCCCATTTCGCCCCTCGTTCATTCCCATTTCGCCCCTTCCCATTTCGCCCCTCATTTATTAAAAAGTAAAATACCTAGATACTGACCTTTGACCTTGGAATGACCTTGACCTTAGTTCACTTAATCATGGGTCACAGAGGTTCACAACAGCCCCAACGACCTTAAATCAGGCAAAGGGGCAAAATGACAAAGGGATGAAATGGGAAAGGGGCCAATTGGGAAGGGGTGAAATGGGAAGGGGCCCATTGGGAAGGAGCGAAATGGGAATAAATGAGGGGCGAAATGGGAAGGGGCGAGATGGGAAGGGGCGAAATGGGAAGGGGTGAAATGGAGAAGGGGTGACATGGGAAGGGGCGAAATGGGAAGGGGCGAAATGGGAAGGGACGATAAGAGAAAGGGGCGATATGGGAAGGGGACAACATGGGAAAGGGGTGAAACGGCAAAGGGGCAAAATGGGAAAGGGGCCAATTGGGAAGGAGTGAAATGGGAATAAATGAGTGGCGAAATGGGAAGGGGCGAAATGGGAAGTGGTGAAATGGGAATAAACCATTACTGGCGACCATCCCCCCTTTGGGTGAACTTAGAAAAAATCTCAAATTTTCAACGTTTGGAACCCAAGTTTTTTTTGCCAAATTTCAAATATGACCCCCCCCCAACCCCCCTTGCTAGCAACTGGATCCGCCAATGCATTTGATAAATCCCAGGATAAATCACTCGGCCAGGGCGCAGCTCATCCACTGAACCAAACGCCACTTCCCGCTGAAATCACCGGGTATTGATCTTTCCCTTGGGCTTACAAGACATGACTGTTGTGACTTTCACTTTCGTATTGTGAGATTGACAGGTGCTTGTGTTTGCCTCGTTTCCAATTCAACATCACGTGACATAATCTCGTCCTCTTTATTCGGGTCCGCCATTGCGACAACTCATGTAAATTTGTGTTGTCAGTAAGAGACTCAAAAAATCCAAGATGGTAAGTGACATCGACTGATTTCAGTTCAATAATATGATATAAGAGATACATTTACGCAACCCTGTAAAATTTAGTCCCTTTGCGATGTTTGTGGCTATACAAATTTTGTTCTCAAAATGACCTCTACCTCAAGAATTTCATTCATTTTTTGGGGTTTTAGTTCTACGTGGAATTTTCTTTAAATTTTTTCCGAATATCAGGATTTTACAACCATAATCTCCGAAATATCAAGGTTTTATTAAGTACTGTGAAATGAAGAATCGGAAATAGGAAGACGGATAATGTTTCATCTCTGTGTTTACAAAATCTTCGTCAATATGTTAAAAAATTTCAGATGTTGCACAACAACGATTGAAAAGGGTCATTGAGTGCTCTACAGTTTGTTTCACAACATATTGAAATCTAATCCTTCAATTTTTTAAATAATCTGCATGACATCATCCTCACAATGGAAAATGTGAGCTACCATCGCAAGCAAATGGGCTTTTTGAAGATAGAAGACTCCAAACAAGAATAAAGAATGGTAGTGTACATTTACACAATGAAAATGACTGACTGTTTATGTTCGAACATGGTTATTCTAAATAAACCATATGTTATCTTTTGCTCTTCAGGTGAATTTTACAGTTGACGAGATCCGTGCGATCATGGACAAGAAAAACAACATTCGTAACATGTCCGTGATTGCCCACGTGGATCATGGTAAATCAACACTTACTGATTCCCTTGTAAGCAAAGCAGGTATCATCGCTGGTGCCAAGGCTGGAGAGACTAGATTCACTGATACCAGGAAGGATGAACAGGAAAGATGTATCACAATCAAATCCACGTAAGTAACAGTTTTTTGTGAAAGTATAGTTTGAAGTGCTCACATTGCTTCAGTCTGCCTTGTGTTAATTGTAGTTCTTGATGTTCTGATATAAAAACTAGATACTTTTTGGGTCAAGCAGATGTCATTAAAATGACCTATAATTCTTTCTAATATTTTCAGTGCCATTTCCCTCTTCTACGCTGTAGCAGAGAAAGATCTGAGTCAAATTGGACAAAAACATGATGGCAATGAATTTTTAATCAACCTGATTGACTCTCCCGGGCACGTTGATTTTTCATCTGAGGTTACTGCAGCCCTACGTGTCACCGATGGTGCCCTTGTAGTAGTTGACTGCGTGTCTGGTAAATAAAAAATAATATTTAGTTTATAATAGAGTATATGCATTATATATATATATGGGGCTTAGGGCATGCTTTTAAATATTTATTAAAAGTTGTACAATTTTTTATTGAAATCATATTGTCCAGTAAAATATTATTGCTTAATAAAACTCAACCTTGAATCTTGGTTTAAAGAAGGAACAATTTACTTGTGCTATATTTACCAAGAAAGCATCAGCTTTCCTTAATAAATTGCATGGTTTTTGTTTGTTTGACATTGTATTCTGGTAAAAGTCCTAGAAAAGTGTAAATTGCTTTAATTTAGGTGTATGTGTCCAGACTGAAACTGTGTTGCGTCAAGCTATTGCTGAACGTATCAAGCCTGTCCTTTTCATGAACAAGATGGACTTGGCTCTCCTAACCCTGAAGTTGGACATGGAAGATCTCTACCAGAAGTTTGTTAAGACTGTTGAGAATGTTAACAAGATCATTGCTATCTACAGCGAGGAAGATGGTCCCATGGGCTCTATCTATGTTGAACCTGGCAAAGGAAATGTTGGATTCGGATCTGGTCTTCATGGCTGGGCCTTCACCTTGAAGCAGTTTGCTGAAATCTACGCAAGTAAATTTGATATTGACACACCAAGGTTGATGAAACGATTATGGGGTGACCAGTTCTACAATGGCAAGAAGAAGACTTGGCATAAGACAGATGAGGGTGGAAAAGCTGTCCGTGGTTTCACCCAGTACATTCTTGACCCCATTTACAAGGTGAGATCATACAACATTACTGATCATTTACAATCTCTACATTGTAAAAAAAATTGCATTTTTATTACTTTTATAACTAGGTGTGTAAAAATCTAGGCACTCAAATAGTTGCTTTATATCTAATTTTGTTGAGATGGTTTTCAGGTCTTTAACTTCTGTATGGAGAAGCCAAAAGAGGATGCCCTCAAGCTGTGCGAAAAGCTGAATGTTAAATTGACTGCAGAAGAAAAAGAGAAAGAAACCAAGCAACTGCTCAAAACTGTCATGAGGAAATGGTTGCCCGCTGGAGAAACACTCTTGCAGATGATTGTCATCCATCTTCCATCTCCCGTAACGGCCCAAAAGTACCGTATGGAGATGCTGTATGAGGGTCCCCATGATGACGCTGCTGCACTTGGTAAGTTACAAATCGCATTTCTTCTCAGCCTCTATCATTGTTCCAACAGACCTGGAAGTGGAAATGTCAAGAAATCAGGACGATCCGAGCGTAAAATAAATGTTCAGAATACTCAAATTTAATTTTGATTCTCTTTTTTATTTTTTATTTATAAGTCATGTGATCTATATCCAGACTCCAGAATTCCACTCATTTTTGATGATTTCATCCAGGTCAGTTACAATCCTAAATCTAGATTCAAAATGAGAAATCTCTTGTATCTTTCATTTATATAATCAATGTAAGATAATGATCTTGACAGTGACAGTGTAAATTGTCTTGCCAGTCATCATATTTGCTTATTGTTTGTCAATACACATCTTCTGTGAACTCTACAACTTGTCTTCAAGAAACTGCAAAAGCCATCAGTCATGTTTCTTCACCATTCCATGAAAATACATATATTCATCCTGTTTTTTGATTTTGAGGTTCCTTACCCTAAATCTCCTGCTCTTGGGTATTTCTTCCAACTTCCGGTAATTCAGAATTGATTAAAAGTTTAGAAAAATCATATCTATGGTACATTGCATAGGTTAACCATAACTATGGTACATTGCACAGGTTAACCATATCTATGGTACATTGCATAGGTAAAGGCTTGCGCAGTCTTCAGACACATACAGAGTGTAAAGTTATGCCCTGTTTAATCATTTTTACTCGCTGAAAACAAGAAATAAAAGAAGATCACGTATAAGAAACTAAAATTAAGTCACAAAACATTGAATCTTTACAGGCATAGTGAATTGTGACCCAGAAGCCCCTCTGATGATGTACATCTCCAAAATGGTACCGACCTCTGACAAGGGAAGATTCTACGCCTTTGGTCGTGTTTTCTCTGGAAAAGTAGCAACTGGCTTAAAGACCAGAATTATGGGTCCTAATTTTACCCCAGGCAAGAAGGAAGATTTGGCTGAGAAGAGCATCCAGAGGTAACAATAAATATCTTAATTTTTGAGGTTGGATAATCAGTTTGTTTTTCCTATTCTCCTTGTCTTGTGAACAGTCATGGCTACAAAAGTAGCATTTTCGGATCCATATATCGACTAACAGGTTTGATTTCAATTTTATTTAATATGAATTTTTATTTTATTATTATTTTAAGAACCATTCTTATGATGGGACGTTACACAGAGCCCATTGAAGATGTACCTTGTGGCAACATTTGTGGTCTGGTTGGTGTAGATCAGTTCCTTGTCAAAACTGGAACCATTACAACTCTAAAGGAAGCCCACAACATGAAGGTAGAGTATTCACCATTTCTTCCCATAGCTCTGTTTTAATAAAACATCAAATAAAGTTGGGGAAGGGGTTTAGAGAACTGTCAATTCATTTGCTGGTCTCCTTATGGGCAAAGAGAATTTTTGTTCTATACACCGTTCTCACAGTCAAAATACAGTATTATTAATCAAATACCGTATAGATACAAATTACTGCTGAAACTCGAAAATCACATTCATTTAGTTGATTTTGTAAAAGTACATGAGTTACCTGTTTCCCCTAAACACACAGTTTGAATAATCTTTTAGTAAACTGGGAACTTGTAATTTGATGACCTGCTATATTTGGCCATTTTGCAATACTTTTAGGGCCAGAATTGGTTTTGATTCAATATTATAAATTTATGCATTCATAATAAATATGAAACATGATATCAACTTATGAGATAAATACTGACGTTGGTGACATTTTGCCATGTTAATTCCTTGATTGAGAAATTTGCAGAACATGATAATATACTGCCTCAAAATTGTAGGTGATGAAATTCAGTGTGAGTCCAGTTGTGCGTGTTGCTGTAGAGGTCAAGAACCCATCTGAGCTTCCCAAGCTTGTTGAAGGACTCAAACGTCTCTCTAAATCTGATCCTATGGTACAGATTTACACTGAAGAGTCTGGTGAGCATATCATTGCTGGAGCTGGTGAACTCCATTTGGAAATCTGCTTGAAAGATTTGGAAGAAGATCATGCTGGAGTTCCCCTGAAGAAAACCGACCCAGTTGTATCTTACCGTGAGACTGTTCAAGAAAGATCGAGCCAGATTTGTCTGTCAAAATCACCAAACAAGCACAACCGTCTTTTCCTATCTGCCGGTCCCCTAGATGATGGACTACCTGAAGATATTGATTCTGGAGAGATCACTCCTCGCCAAGACTTCAAACTCCGAGGACGTTATCTTATCGATAAATATTCCTGGGATGCCACTGAATCAAGGAAGATCTGGTGCTTTGGACCTGAAGGCACAGGGCCTAATCTGCTCGTGGATGTTACCAAAGGAGTGCAGTACCTCAATGAAATCAAAGACAGTGTTGTTGCTGGATTCCAGTGGGCAACTAAAGAGGTGAGATGCATATCTTAACATTCAGGGGGTGAAAATGTGAAGATAATTTTTGTCGCATAAATTAGGTAGGTGTTTTTTGCATCTGTGAATGTTTTTAGTCCTTGCCTGCAATATGCCCATCATGTCCCCAATACATTATACAGGAAACATTCAATAGCTCCAAATTGAATTCTACCGTCAACAGCTGTCTGTCGTTCAGGCACTAGTGGCAAGTGGCTTGAAATTATTTTGTTACAAAAATTCGGCAAAAAATTATGTCTGTTTTTTCTGTCATTTTTAGCCATCATTCACTTTTGAGCAACACCATGTGAGCCCTGTACTATTTTTCAATGTCAGGTTAACCAATGATTTTTGTCCAAAATCAAAATGTTTCTCAGGTTAACGCCACATTCTGAAAAAAACTAGATAGTTTGCTGTCAATTTATAACAAATGAATGCTTCACCAATGGGAATGTGATGAGTGTATTGGCAGGTGAGGAAACACTACAAACTGTTTACCAAAAAACTACAACTACAGTGTTACTTACAAGTGGCTGCAAGATTTTCATATTCACAATTTACACTAAAAATGGTCAAAAAATGCCAGTTTTTATTATGATTTTTCTGGTGCAAATGGATTTTCAGGTGGGTGCAAGCCTCATTTTAAAATCTCAGGTGGGTGCTGCATCCACTTGCTTTAAAGGCAGAATCAGATCTATGGGGGTGATAAAATTACAAGAAACATGTACAACTGACCTACCAATCTATTCCTTACAATCTCAAATACAATATCTCCCAAAAGATTCACGATATGTTATAAATTGGTGAAGTTATAATGGATTCAGAGTGCAAAAATGCGTAAAAAATGTTTAAATTCTCCCAAATAATAAGAATGGTAACCATTCTTATAGAAAGATAATATATTATCTTAAAAATCTTTAGTTTTCCTGAAATAAAGTGAGCACTTTGGGGATTTCTAGAAAATAGACATGAAAATGAATGACATAAGCCAGGAATATTCTAAAACTGAAACAATTTTTTGTTAGGCTGCTCGCTAGATCTGATTCTCTCTTTAACGCGATACTGAACTACCTGGTTTTTGAACAGAAATACTATACACATTTCTGTCAATTAAAACTGCAAAACTTGTGTGAATAATGCAATATTCAGTGATGAACGATGACAAGTCTGACTTCATTCAGGTGTTGAACAACAAGGCATTTGTCTGAGAATATTGCAATTCAAAATAAATTCTCTGAGCTAATGTGATTTATTACTTGTTCAAGTGAAAAGCATACCTATATAGAACAAAATATTTAAAGTATGATTATTATGAGCTGGACTAGTTAAAATACCATGAAATACAAGTATATTGCTACATATGTTAATTTAGTTATTCATACCCACAAGAAAAATTCCACTGAACAAGTTATTATCTTGTTTTTTTCAAAATTTTATAGTTTGATTTCTCCCTCCACTTTCTTTGCAAGCAGATTGTAGAATGTTAATAGAGCAGCACCCAATATCTTTAATGTTGGCAGAACTCTGAATCTTGTTTACCCGTTTCACCTATGGATCCAGTTATCTCCATAGGATTATTTCTCAAGTGGTTGCACGTTTCTCATTTTCAAGTGGGTGCAAATGGATTTTAAGGTGGGTCCAAGCCTATTTTCAAAATCTCAGGTGGGTGCTGCGCCCACTTGCTTTAATGCTGGGAAGATCACTGGTATCTCTCAATCACATGCCAGTATTTTGCATCCAAAATGCATCCACATTGTCCCATTTAGTTATGTCACCACCCCAAGTGGTAGCAATATGTTATTGTCTTTATTTTTTGTGGATGGTGTTTGGCAGTCATTGTCTGTAAAAAATGGCAGGTGATGACATTTACATTTTAATGATAGTACGTAAAAGTGAATTCCAACCTGTTTTATTTTTGCTTGTACTTTTATAGGGTGTGCTTTGTGAAGAGAACATGCGTGGTATACGATTCAACATTCATGATGTGACACTTCATGCTGATGCTATCCATAGAGGAGGTGGTCAGATCATCCCCACAGCAAGAAGAGTCCTGTATGCCTCTGCACTTACAGCCAAGCCATGTCTGATGGAGCCAGTCTACCTATGTGAAATTCAGGTAAGGCAGAAATTTTGTTAGCATTCATTTTTTGTGTTCCATCTTCCCTCTAGTGTAGTTTTATATGAGTTATGGTCCGTTTATACACATTTGTGTTTAATCATATCTTTAATGTTGATTTGGTCCCAGTTGCAGCAGTGAAGCCTGGCAATAATGATCAAGGTGTACAGTATCAAGCTCAAGTCATTTAAAGTGGGTTTATTCAGACATGCGTGTGTTTGTTTCATTGTAGTGCCCTGAGGCTGCCATTGGTGGAATCTACAGTACACTCAACAAGAGGAGAGGAATCATGTTGGAAGAGAACCAAGTTCCAGGAACCCCTATGTTCCAGATCAAGGCTCATCTGCCTGTCAACGAATCTTTTGGTAAGAGTGCTTTACTATTATCTTATCGAACAAAGTTTAAGGGATTGTAAAGAAGAGCTCAGTACATATGTTAGACTATCCATCACGGCACATACTCAAATACCATTTGGTCTAATATGTTTCAATATGGCCACCAATTTCAAAATATTGGCCATTATAGTGTCACTTTTACAGTATTTTACGTTATTAAACATTTTAAAGTGTAGTATTAATAATATGTTTTAAATGCAAAATATTATATAGGACATTGATTAGATTATCTGATTATTTGAATTATTATTTATCCATGGTACAATGTCGTGTGACACTTTGGCTTGTAGGCAACCCTTTTGGAAAATAACCCCCATTTTTATAATGGTGGTCATTTTTGTCATATTGTTATAATATCTAACCTTTTTGTGTTATGCTTCTTGCTTTCGATGTCTGGTGTTAAGATTCTGGATTCTGAAATTTTTAAATGTTTCTGGAAAAGTAATTATTAAGCTCAGCTTTTAGTTACACTGTTAATTGAAATGACTGCACAGGTACATACATACATACATACCTGTGTACCTCATAAAGGTATATTCAAATCTTATTACATGTTTACTTTTCAGGTTTCACTGGTGCACTGAGACAAGCCACAGGAGGACAAGCTTTCCCACAATGTGTGTTTGACCATTGGGCACTTTACCCAGGTGACCCCATGGACCCTGCAACCAAGCCAGGTGTTGTTGTCACACTTACAAGGAAAAGAAAGGGATTGAAGGAAGAAATTCCACCTTTGGATAAATACTTAGACAAAATGTAAAGGATTGATGAACTTGGATCAGTAAATTATTGAATTGTGATGTTGAAACCTGGATCTACTCAGAGGTGTCGGATTTACCTGAAGAAGTTAACCATCTTGTGCAAAAAAAATATATTATAAATATGGATAGATGTAATATTCAATATGCATGTGTACTAGTTGTGCTCATTGCATTTTAAGACTTTTTAATGGACTTGATGGAGAAATACTGTACTATTTATATTGGGAGATACCTAATTGCCAAAGGCTTTGCCAAAGGATACTTAGTGCAACAGTCACACTTGTGTCATATTTCTCCTGTTACATCATTAATTAATAATGAAAGAATAAAAAAATGTGTAAAAAACATTGACTGTTCTGCTAGTGTTAATATGGAAACCTAAAAACAAAGGTCAAGTCGTGGAATGAGTCTGCCCAAGTATTGACTACAAAATGTCAAAAATTGTAATGTCTGAAAGAACTCAATCTCACATATTATTAAACCTGAACATCTTTTTCGAGAGCCCAAATACAGTATACCTGTATATCTGAGCACCTTGCTAATCCGAACACCTTCTAATTTGAACACTTTTTTCGGTCCCATTTTTTTTTTAAAAAACTTAAAATCTGAACACCTAATTTGAACAGTGAACAATCAGATTTGAAAAAGTGACCGGTCTAATCTGAACATTTTTATCAGAATTCAAATGTCTGTACATTTCAACTAAAGCCACATATTGAGTCCATGTTAAAGTTGTTATTTATCTTTACATATACAATGTAATCAAAGAACCAATATTGTCCTAACTAATTTAGTCTCGGTGACATCCCTTTGTGGAAAACAACAGGATGTTTTGGAAAGGTGTGAATACGGGGGTTAATTGGTTTATCCTATTAGAAAAGAACTGAATGTTTTATGTTTGGATTAAGAGAAAGGTGTGAATCAAGAAGATAATTGATTTATCATTATTGGAAATTACCTGGATGTTTTTTATTTGGATTAAGAGAAAGGTGAGAATCTGGGAGATAATTGGTTTATCTGTGTGATTTTATAAAAATTCGGAAATGTTCTTCAGATATGAGCCCCCTCTAAATATTGGGTGCGGAGGTACGTTTATGGAGCTCCTCCGCACCCAATATTTAGAGGGGGCTCATATCTGAAAAACATTCCGAATTTTTATAAAATCACACAGATACTGCCTGGCTTCTAAGATGCAAAAATAATTTGCATGGGTAGTGTACCTTGAACACCATTTTTTATGAATGCTGGGGACGCAGTATTAAAAGGATAATTTCAAAATATATAGGTCTGGGAAAGATTTAAGGCATACTGCGTCGCTATTAAATGAATTGCTCTACTATTTTCACAATTTTATTGATATTTGGTGTCAAATACACATATCTTGGTATATTTGAAGTCCCAAAACGGCTTAGTTTCAGAAATATCCCAAATTTAAATTCAAAAATGACCGTTAGCTCCGCACCCTCCGCTCATTTGCTCCGCACCCAATATTTCCCACAGGCTCTGTCTGCATAGGGTGTTTAATAAGCATAAGATTTCGTATTAGACTCGTATACTTTTACAGTGTACAGTAAAACCTGTCTAATCCGAACGCCATTGGGACCAGTTAAAAGCGTTCAGATTAGGAGGTGTTCACATTTCAAGGTTTTTGCATTCGCAATATTCCGGATTCTGAAGAAATGTGAACACATTCTCGGTTAATATTTATAGTTCTTTTGACCAGATAGCTTTATGGCATTCCAGGAAAATTTGATTATGCTGGAAAGACCCATTATGAATGAGACCATTCAAGATTTTTTCCCAAAGTTTTGAAATCATGACTAAATTTGAGCAGTTTTGTATGAAACATCAGAAATTTTATGAAAAGTGTTCAGATTAGACAGGTGAATTTTTCAAATATGACTGTTCACTGTTCAAATAGGATAGTTTCTAAATAGCAGAAAAATCAATGAAATCTCGTGCTGCCATCTTTTATTCAGCTTTTAACGTAAGTCATTAGAGGTCTAATATGCAAGTCTCTTAAAATCTCACGAAAAACGAGATTTGGCGAGATTTCAAAAGCTATATGGAAACTATACTATTGGGAGGTGTTTACATTTCAAGGTTTTTTAACATGGGAGGGAAAAATGGTACCGAAAAAAATGTTCAGATTGGGAGGTGTTCGGATTAGCCAGGTGTTCAGATATACAGGTTCTACTGTATTCCAGAATTTTTGTCAAAATATAAGTTGTTTTCACCTGCCAATTTGAACGCTTTTGGCTGGTCCCATGGGTGTTCGGATTAGACAGGTTTTACTGTATATCAATTTGAATCACAATTAATGAAGGATATTGACATCAAAAACAATGCATATCAAACATGCCAGAATTGAATAATTTGTACAAAAATATGAAACTTATCCTCCAAAACATTGCTTGCTTTGTTGAATGGTATTCCTTGACAAGTGAATTGGTGTTTATCTGGGGTAATGAAGGGATTATAGTCACCCAAAGCTCCTAAATATCTAGTTGATACTTCAATTTCGTTGATGGAGTTGTATATACTTCTGCCAAATTCATGCTGAGCACAGCTGTATGGCTTTGATTTTATAATCTCTATACATTACCCTGATAATGAACAGTTGGAATCAATTGAAAAAATCGATTCAAAAAGGCTGCCCAATGTGAAAACTAAGAGAAACAAGTTCTCTGACAATTTTTATCGCACCCTGATATTGTAATCAGTTTGCCGGGCGGGCGGGCGTCCCGAATAATCTTGTCTACAGGTTTCCAGCCAAACCGTTTGAGGAATTCATTTGAAATTCTCAGGGATGTTTCTACCTACGAAAGTTTAGAACTGATTAGTTTTTCGGCATTCTGGGTAAATGTTAAGGCGGCCATTTTGGATTTTCCGTCCTAAAATCTTGCTGTCAAGGCTTGTCTACAGGTTTCCAGCCAAACTGTTTGAGGGATTCATTTGAAATTTTCAGGGATGTTACCTAAGAACGTTTATTAACTGATTAGTTTTTCGGCATTCTGGGTAAATGTTTAGGCCATTTTGGATTTTCCGTCCTAAAATCTTGTCTGTCAAGGCTTGTCTACAGGTTTCCAGCCAAACCGTTTGAGGGATTCATTTGAAATTCTCAGGGATGTTTCTACCTATGAAAGTTTAGAACTGATCTCTAAAATCTTGTCTGATAAATGTTAAAGGGTGACGCATATCGTTTAGCAAGTCGAACGCTCGTTTAATTCTGGTGTTGCTCACCGTTTAGTATAAAAGGCCCGATCCCGGAATAATACTCAAGGGTTCACAGGCTCGAGGTCGTTGTGTCAACACCTCTTACTGTTATATAGCATAAGTATATTATAGATCGTCACACATCTATAAAAGAGTGATTTTTATTTTGATAAATCAATTCCACATTTATGGGTGACGTTTCAGGAGCGTCTATTTGTGTATAATAAGGAAAAATTGACATCTAAAGTTCCCCATAACGTAATAGCACACAGCTTGGCATATGAAATATCCTACAAATGAAACAAAGCAGTTCTAATACAAGGATTTATATTGGCTGTTGTACATATTCTTTGAACGCAATCACTCTATGGATAACGTTTTCAAAATCATTATAAACGGATTACTTTATCTCAAAGACAATTTCAATAAACTGGATTTTACAGAACTCCCATTATTTCTTAAAAATGGACTGATCCAGGAGCCGCCATATTGTTTTTATACGGGAAGCTTATCGGAACCCTTTAAGGTGGCCATTTTGGATTTTCCGTCCTAAAATCTTGTCTGTCGAGGCTTGATTAGAAATAACTAAACGGTCAATTTTTCCAATTTTCACATATTTTGTAATACATCAGTATATTTTTTACCAGGATTTTTTTCAGGAAAATCTGAATTGTAGAAAAAAAGCTGATACACTGTGAAGTAATACCTTAAAACGTGTCTCTTGAGGGTCGTTTACAGGTTTCATGGATTCATCCTAAAATTTTAGAGATGTTTCTATAGAAAGTTTAGAACTGATTAGTTTTCAGGCAGTCTGGGTAAATGTTAAGGTGGCCATTTTGAATTTTTCATCCCGAAAAGTGTATTCTGTTCAAGGGTGCAAATTCTGTTCACCCTGTGGCTTGTTTTCTTTCTAACGGCCATCTTGTTTTCTCCTTCAAATTAAACCTCAGGAAAATCGAAAAATTTAAACCTTAGAAAAACTTGTATATTTCAAAAATATGATTTTTGCAATCTTTTACGGCTCTTAGTTTTTTCTATTATTTTTATGTTATGCATGTTGTCATTTCTGTTTTATTATGATAATGACTTTGTTAAGATACTCACTTTAAATCTCAACAGAGGGTTCATTATGCACCAAAATGACTAATTAAAAATTTATATACTTATCTAATATTAATCAGACAGTAAGAGAAATCATATTTCACCAAAAATTAAGTGAGGGACCAAAAGGGCATCCTTTTGAATAACCTTGCCATAGCAAGGAGGATTGGCTCCCAGAGTTCAACATTGATATTCTGTCCCATAAATGTGTATGTCGTGATACAAAATTCGAATTAAAACAGACGCCATTATGTTCACTTCAACATTTGAGTCTTGAATTTTGGTCTTATTCCTAACGAAATATTGATAACTCATAAGAAATGATTGAGATATTGATTCGAATCTTTTGAACTGTTTATTGTTATTATGTTGGTCATAATTTCAGAAAATAACGACATTTCGACGTTTTCATTGTTGGAAAATATGGGAGCCAATCCTCCTTGTTGCCATAGTGAGGAAGCAATTTTTTCTTGAGCCTTTTTGAGGGAAGTATGTAATTTATAAAATGTATTCAACCAATTTAAAAATGTTTTATTTTACGAACACTATTTCACTCTGGACAAGTCACCATCATCTATTTCACTAAGACCGAGTCACCATGAATAAGATAAATACTAGTCAGTGAAGATAAATACTAGTCAGTGATCTCCCCAGGATTTTTTTACTCAGGTGGGTGCAAAATTCTCATTTTCACAGTTCAGACCAAAATTGGGTCAAAATATGCCAATTTTGCCTGATTTTTCTCATTTTCAAGTGGGTGCAAATGGATTTTCAGGTGGGTGCAAGCATATTTTCAAAGTCTCAGCTGGGTGCTGTGCCCACTTTCTTAAATACTGGGGAGATAACTGGAAGTGTTTCAAAGTTTCAACAATATTTTTAAAAACACTGCTTAAATATTGAAACCAAGTTCAAGAGGCATAGAGATCGGAGTATATGAGATTATGAGAGTATATGGGAGGTTTTTTATATACAGGGTGCTCCAAAAAATGGGACACTCGTATTCAAAAATAAATATTGGTTTTCTTGATGAAAACATGTCATATTATATACCAGTGGATAGGGAATTTACTTATCTTTAATTTGGTTTATCATAAATTCAAATTTATTATAATATCTGTCAACCAGCGTCCATAATACAAATGACGTCATTTTCGTTTCAAAACTAGTTCCCCATAACTCGCAAAAAAGTTTTTTGTCAACTT